TTAGCAGTAGACAGCTAAAAACTTGAATTTTAGATCGAGCGATATTTGACCAATACATCCTAAACGAGAATTGAAGGTCTCGTCATTTGTAGTACAACGGTAAAAAGTCTGACGAAAACGGATGTCGGATGAAGAAGTTATGATTTTTTAACGGATTTTCCTATCCTGGTCTGTTAAAAATAATAATATTAAAATTAAAGTCAAAATTAGCCGACGAAGTCTAAATGAAAGGCGTAGAGCGTAATTTTCGCTACGCGTGCATATAAAGAACGTCAAAAACAGAGCTCGTATGCGAAAGTTATGGATTTTAGAAGTTTGGGGCACATTTTCCGAGAAATTCGCATGAATAGTACCAGCCACCGGAGACCTACGTCGCAGCCACGTCACCTTCGCACGAAGCAGCAGCGTCACCGAAGATGTGGCCATTCCGAGAAGCATCGCGTGTCGCATGCTGATTCGACCGAAGTCCGGTCCAAGGGAATTCCGACGCTTGCCCCAATCCGAAGCAGCCACGAGCTCCTGACGCGCCTTCGCATCGCCTACACGTCCGAGCCTCGCAGCAGGCCTCGTGGCCTTCGCTTCTCACGCTACCTGCCCCTCGCTGTTGACGCCACCGAGCTGCTTCGTTGCTTGGTTCCTTCCCAGCCGACTCCGAACCTCGGCCCTATAAATAGGAGGGTGAGAAGCCTCCCGGCTAAAATTAGAAAATTTCCATTTTTCACCCCTTAATCCATATATTTACTATTTTGACTTTTTACGAAGCCCCGGTATCAGTTTTAGCACCCAATACACGTCTCGAGACCCCCGAGAAGCCCGGAAATTTTATCTTTTTGGTTTTGAAGCCCACCTTCCCAGAGCCCGGTTTTCAATTAAGCTCCCGGTTTTCAACATAGAAAGACATATTTAAAGCCGAAGTGCTATCCAAATTACTATTTTAATCCCAGGTTAACTTAAGGTGAGTTCAGTATATAGGAACAAATGTATGTTATGTGTTATATGTGCTATGTGCTTTTCAGTGTTATTATTCTGAGTTATTTTCTCGTGTTATTCGCTATGTTTATAGCAATTGTAATACCTTTGACCATGTGATTAGTGAAATGACTTAGATTCACATTGGTACTGGTACATAGCCTCTGGCCATGTAGAGCATGTCTCCGTAAGAGAATGACTTCTATTCTATGGCATTGGAAAATGGTTATACAGGACTATAAGCCTGAAATCTAACAAGATGTTAATCAGAAATTGCATGTCTTCTATGCCATTTGGGCCAAAGCTTTATTGATGTATATCAAGAATTGAAAAGCATATCTTTGAATAAAGTCTTTGATTGATACGAACGCTTGTCACATGATCTCACATACATCTTGTTATTCCTCTTTTCTTTTTCCACATTGAAGTATATATATGGCATAACGTTATATTGTATCTGTTTTTGAACTCACTAAGCGTCACCGCTTACCCTATCAATGTTTAATAATTGCAGGTGATAAGTAACTAGTATGTTCACATAATATTGAAAGATTTAGAATAGTTTGTAATAGTACTTTTGTACTACAGTTTATGTTTGTATAAATTACAATATCCTGGGTAGTTATGTAATATATATAACACTTTGTAATAGAAGGTTTGTATCTAATAGTTTGTAATTCCCTTATCAATGTAGAATATTGCTTTTATGAATATGCAAATAGCATGTTTTGGAGTAATGATATTGTGAAGTATGAAAGTTTGGGTCTTTAAAAAATACGAAAGTTGGGGTCTTTCACTTTCCTACCACCATCTACTACCGTTTGCCGCCTCCAGGTTGCTGATGGGTGTTTTACGTGGCCAATTCATTTTTGTGTGTGTTTGGTGTTGCTTCACTAGGGTGGTTGTTCCCTTTTGACCGGAAACCATGGCAAAACCACCATGGCTGCCAACCATGGTGGTTATCGCCACCTTTCTGTTCTGGCACCACCAGCCGCCACGTAGTGGTGGCTGTGTGCGTATCTGTGTGTGTGTGTGTTTGTTTGTTTATATTAGTGTGTGTGTGTGTGTTATCGGGATTGTGTTGTAAACAGTAATCAGTGTCGGAATGATAATACAAACTCAAAACCACCACCATAGGATGGTGGTTGCCGCCACCAGCCGTTGTGTTGGGTAGCGGTGTGCCTAGTTGCGCTTTGACTCGTTTGGGATGCTTGGACAGAATGGGCCTAACAAAACCATAGTGGGCCCAATGAAAACCTAATGGGCCCAATGAAGCCCTAATTGACCTAAAAGCTCAACCATGTGATTAATGGGCTAGTATTGGGTAGGAAACCCAAATTAGGGTTTGGAAGACCCTAATGGCATAAAAACTTAATCTTAGGGAATTAACGGGACCCGCACTTAAATTAATTATGAAACTGAAAATTTTAATTAGTAATCATTTTCAAATTAACCTAAGGAAATATTGTCCTTAATGGTTTAAGTAGGAACACATAACCCTAATTGTCATTTCATGTGAAAACCCTAATTTCATTTGGGCCTTGATTTGGGCCTTCCTATTAGGCCTTGGTGATTGGACTATTGATGGGCTATCCAATAACAAGCAAATATACCAAAATAATTGGATGGGTTTTAGGGTAAGGCCTATGTGAAGGACTTGGGCAGATTTTGGATAATTGGGCCATAAGTGGGCCATAACTGGGCCTTGATGATTATGAGACATTGGGCTATTGGAAGAGTTTGGTCTAGAATAAATGGATGTGCCTCAAGGAAATACCATGTAGGGGTCCGGGCCCAATTTGGAAAATTGGGCCATATGTTGGGCTTTGTCCCATTACTTGATTTTTGGGCCTTGGAGTGTGAGTTGGGCCTTAGGCTTGAATCAAGCTAGGTTGGGGGTAAAGTAGCCTTTTACCCCAAGCATGGACTTATGGTTATGTATTGGAACGTAATTATTAATTGGGTGTTATTTTGATGATTGACAGCTCGGGAATCTGTCAACCAGTAGCTGGAGTTTATCCACAGGACTTCAGCGGTGTGAGGTGAGTTATCCTCACTATACTAAGGGGTCGAAGGCACCAATGTTGGCCCATTGGATATGTTATCCTAGTAGTTGGTTGTATGTTGAGTATGAGTTAGTATTGCATGCTAGTTGTTATGCTAGTTTGGTAGATATATAGGACTACCTGTATTATTATGTGATTATTTGTATATGCATTAGTTATGATATATGTCAACATATTATGTGGGCTGGGTTGAGATTATACTTCTCCGTGCAGTAGCCGACAAACCCTAGAGTATTCCATATATGAGCTGAGGGCCGGGCGGGGCATACCAGACTCATACTAAGGACTCAGGAGCATTCCAGATATGAGCTGAGGGCCGTATAGGCATGCCATAATCGTACTGTGAGCTCGGGAGCATTCTAAATACGAGCTAAGGGCTAGGTGGGGCATACCAGACTTGTACTATGGGCTCGGTGGCAATCCAGATGTGAGTTGTGGGCCTGGAGGGCAATCCAGACTCACACTGTAGGCCCAGCGTAATTCACTTTGTAAAGTTGTGGACCCAATACATGTTGTTATTTGTATATGTGTTATTTTCAATGTATCGGTATTTGTAGGGGGAACTCACTAAGCTTTCGGCTTATAGTTTCAGTTTTGGTTTTAGGTACCTCAGATGATCGCGGGAAGGCAAAGGCGTAATCGTACACCTTCTCATATTTTATGACTATGTTTCTGGGAGACTCTGATATTAAACTATTTTGAAAACATTTTGTACAGCTTCTCATATTTTATGACTATGTTTCGGCATAGGTATAATTTTTTTGTTTCTTTGTCCCATTATTTTGGATGGCCTTACAACTTTCTTACAAGTATCCTTGTTATGACCTTTCTCTTTTCATATGCTACAAGAAACCTTCTTCCATGCCTTTTAAATGGTGTGTTTTCCTATTTGTTCAGAAGCATCCCTTCTTCTCTTTATGGTTGGCCTGCTTGGCATAACTCTTTTCAATGGAGGCAAAGGGTTGTCAAGTTAGTAGAAGGCCAAATATTTTTTTCCATTCATCCCATGGATTGGGTGTTTGTAAGTGTTATTGAATAATGCAGCCAAGTACAATGGATCCACATATGGCCCATCAGGTATAATATTTATGTGGGCTAAGGTGGCAACTTAATGTACGCAACCATATCCATTAAGTTGCCATAGCTTGCAACTACATTCTTTTTTTCAACATGAACAATATATATGCCTCGTCCATTTTCCTTGCCTCAAATTTCATTCCTCCACAAGATATGACCTGCCAATGCCTACATAGATGAAACCCAAAATATTATGACATGTGAACAATAAGGTATGGATGTTATTGGATAAGTGTACAAACCTTTGCTCAGTATCGAGCATATTCAACTATATTCTAATATTTGGACAAACGGAATAACAATTCCATCCTTGTCCGGTTAGTTTCATAGTTACCATCCTTTGCATCACATATATACGAATGTCTTCTAACATGCTTATGATTGGTTTTTTCTGGGCATCCAAAAGCACACTATTAAAGCTCTCTGAAAAACCGTTATCTACTGACTCACTAGAATTCTGAACTCAGAAAAAAGCCAAATACCAAGTCTTCAGATATCTATCCATAAGATGCACAATTGCATTCGGATTTAACTTTTCAATCTTTTTCATAACTACATTAAAATGTGCTTCAATTGTTGCCTTGTTCGCTTTCCAAAATAATTTTCAAACTTGGCTCCACTAAATCTATTTCTAAAATTTCTATAGATATGTCTAGCACACTGCCTATGTTCAGCTACTAGAAATACTTCTTTTACTGCCTCAATCAAATCCTACATAAGTCACATTAATGTTTGAAATTAGAATAGAAATATCTAATTTTATAACATGAAATATTTATGTATCATACCTTGTATTGATCTAAAATTAGAACCAAACCTTGTCCTTCATTCCAACATTGCAAATCTTCTGAAAGAGTTATTATGAACCATTTCCAATTATCCTTGTTTTCACACAAAACACCACCCAAGCAATCGGGAATATTCCATTGTTAGCATCCCTACCAACAACACAGAGCAACTCCCATTTTCAAAATCTTTTCAGAAAACAACCATCCGGGTTAATGATCCTCCTACATCCTCCCCTCCATCCCTCTTTTACTGAGGAAAAACATATGTATATCTTGCTGAAATATTTCTTACCATCAGGCATTGCATCAACACAAATTTTCACTGTGGATCCAGGATTTGACCTTCTAATATCCTCACTATATGACCATATTCTTGCATAATTTTCAGCTATTGTGCCTTCAGCTAGAGTCAATGCATACTTCTTTACTCTCCTACACTGACTCATACTCACATCAATCCCAAAAGTGGTTTTACCTCCTCTCTAAGAAATCAGACGCTCATCTTTTAATTGTTATAAAGTTGTTGCTTAAAGTGGGTCCATATCCATTTATAAGTCACAATCGATCCAAATTTGAAATTCTTTGCACAATTATTCTCACCAATAAAAGACTTTATCTGGAAAGACTTATCATAGTCATCCAAGAACCCCAAAACTTAAAAGTAAATTTTCCATCACGACATTTGGCAAATAATTGTCTATTGTCATTCTTAACAAAACATAATTGATAACCATTCACGACAACACATTTACAAATCATGTATTTCAATTGTTTAGGACTCTCAAACCTCATACCTAACACAAGTTACTGCTCCTTCCAATTGATCTTATCATTGAAAATATTACGCAACCTGGGATAAACATCTTCATTATCACCCATGTCTTCTTCGAAAGAGTCACATACACCTGCATTCTCACGCATGTCTACCCGAATCCCATTATCCTTTATGAAAAAAAGAGGCTTCTCATGGTTATCCTTATCGTCATCAATATCCTCATACTCATTGTCATCCTCATCGTCAATGCCAGGCACATCTCATTGCCCTGTTGCAACTTCCTTAATCAGTCATGCACCATCAAGTACCTCTTCCTCTATGTAACCAACATCTTTGTCTTTGTGTTCATCCAACCATTCCTGCATGTTACTATTCCCAAAATGGTCTACATACATATGGAGTATAACACCACATTCATACGCAATTGCTATAAAGTCGAAATAATCCGGGTCATTCCTAATTAAAGTCAAACCTTTTGGAAAATCAATATTAGGTTGACAGTATTAGAGCTTCTCACACTTTTCCCCAGTGAACCTTTCGATGAGTGCAACACACCCATCCTTGTCCATGCCTACGAAATTGATGTCCAAAAACCTCTGAGTAATTCCACCCGTGTAGCGTATGGGGTTTCTGGCGAACATTCATTGGAAGTAGACATCTACTTGTAAGAATACAGGTTCCATGTTTGAGGATACAGAAGCAGATAACAAGAAAGGGTTTATAAATGAAGTGCTAAACAGTGGAGGTAAAAGGGCTCTTATATAAAGCATATACCGACAGTAAGAAGGAAGTGACTAATTCATGACATGGCATTACACAAAAGTCACAATCAGCATCCGATGTGGTGTTAGTAGAAGGAGGTGGACTAAAAATGACCGGCTGACCCCTTCACAATTGAAATAAGGACTTAATCGACTCAATAAAGTGTATTTCGTTCCCTTATAAAGCCACAAAATAAGTTAAGTGGCTAAATGGGTAAACCCTAGAAACATAATAGGGCATATGTTTCATTTTTCCTTATAAAAAATAGTTTCATGGTCTTTTATTAATGTAGGATTATAATTTCTTACACAAAATATGCTTTTTCTTATGGATTTTGTTTTTGAGATACTATTTGATGTAGATATGAGCTAAAAACTCATAACTTCTATTTCAGGTAGATTAGCTTGTTAATATGGATTGATTTTATGGTATGGATTAATTGATTTTGGTGACAATTGTTTTGCTAAGCTTGTAACCGATCCTTATGTGTTAACAATAACTATTTTCTGTTAATTATCAAGTCTGTTAAGTTGCATGAACATCATCTTAAGTGCTTGCTTATATGATTTATGTGAAAACAATATTATATGCCTAGTATTAGTGAATATGAACCTAGGATTAATTAGAAAATAGGTAAGTTAATGTGTGAGCTTGTGTGAGGAACAACCCTACAAGATGTTGATTGAATTAGTCATTTAATTATTTACAACTACAAGTCTTACTTAACCCAAATCAAAATACTAGGAAATTCATTTGTTTAACCAATTGGCCACTGTTTAAATTAATTTGTTTTCTAAGGATTAGTAATAGTGAACATGAATCTAATCACGTTAGTCAGTAACCAATGACAAAATAATCCATTGCACATGCCATAAAATCAACTATAGAAACAAGTGAGTCGAACCTAAACAAAAGTCTCTTTTATTATTGAATCTAGTTATCTTTAATTTCCTTAGCTGTTAGTTGTTTTTGTTTAAGCATTAGTTAATTGTTAAGTTTCTGGT